CTGTTCATCTATCTACAGTATCTGTCTGTCTGTCTGTCTGTCTGTTCATCTATCTATCTATCTATCTATCTATCTATCTATCTATCTATCTATCTATCTATCTGTCTATCTATCTATCTATCTATCTATCTATCTATCTATCTATCTATCTATCTATCTATCTATCTATCTATCTATCTATCTATCTATCTATCTATCTATCTATCTATCTGTCTATCTATCTGTCTGTCTGTCTGTCTGTCTGTCTGTTCATCTATCTATCTATCTATCTATCTATCTATCTATCTATCTATCTATCTATCTATCTATCTATCTATCTATCTGTCTGTCTGTCTGTCTGTCTGTCTGTCTGTCTGTCTGTTCATCTATCTATCTATCTATCTATCTATCTATCTATCTATCTATCTATCTTTTTTTTGTATCTGTCTGTCTGTTCATCTATCTATCTATCTATCTATCTATCTATCTATCTATCTATCTATCTATCTATCTATCTATCTATCTATCTTTTGTATCTGTCTGTCTGTCTGTTCATCCATCTATCTATCTATCTATCTATCTATCTATCTATCTATCTATCTATCTATCTATCTATCTATCTATCTATCTATCTATCTATCTATCTGTCTGTCTGTCTGTCTGTTCATCTATCTATCTGTCTGTCTGTCTGTTCATCTATCTATCTATCTATCTATCTATCTATCTATCTATCTATCTATCTGTCTGTCTGTCTGTCTGTCTGTCTGTTCATCTATCTACAGTATATGTCTGTCTGTCTGTCTGTTCATCTATCTATCTATCTATCTATCTATCTATCTATCTATCTATCTATCTATCTATCTATCTATCTATCTATCTATCTATCTATCTATCTATCTATCTATCTATCTATCTGTCTGTCTGTCTGTCTGTCTGTTCATCTATCTATCTGTCTGTCTGTCTGTTCATATATCTATCTATCTATCATCTGTCTGTCTGTCTGTCTGTTCATCCATCTATCTATCTATCTATCTATCTATCTATCTATCTATCTATCTATCTATCTATCTATCTATCTATCTATCTATCTATCTGTCTGTCTGTCTGTCTGTCTGTTCATCTATCTACAGTATCTGTCAGTCTGTCTGTCTGTTCATCTATCTATCTATCTATCTATCTATCTATCTATCTATCTATCTATCTATCTATCTATCTATCTATCTATCTATCTATCTATCTATCTATCTATCTATCTATCTATCTATCTATCTATCTATCTATCTGTCTGTCTGTCTGTCTGTTCATCTATCTATCTATCTATCTATCTATCTATCTATCTATCTATCTATCTATCTATCTATCTATCTATCTATCTATCTATCTATCTGTCTGTCTGTCTGTCTGTCTGTCTCTCTGTCTGTCTGTTCATCTATCTATCTATCTATCTATCTATCTATCTATCTATCTATCTATCTATCTATCTATCTATCTATCTTTTTTATCTGTCTGTCTGTCTGTTCATCTATCTATCTATCTATCTATCTATCTATCTATCTATCTATCTATCTATCTATCTATCTATCTATCTATCTATCTATCTATCTATCTATCTATCTATCTATCTATCTATCTGTCTGTCTGTCTGTTCATCTATCTATCTATCTATCTATCTATCTATCTTTTTTATCTGTCTGTCTGTCTGTTCATCCATCTATCTATATATATATCTGTCTGTCTGTTCATCTATCTATCTATCTATCTATCTATCTGTCTGTCTGTCTGTCTGTCTGTCTGTCTGTCTGTCTGTTCATATCTCTATCTATCTATCTATCTATCTATCTATCTATCTATCTATCTATCTATCTATCTATCTATCTATCTATCTATCTATCTATCCATCTGTCTGTCTGTCTGTCTGTTCATCTATCTATCTGTCTGTTCATCTATCTATCTATCTATCTATCTATCTATCTATCTATCTATCTATCAGCTGTCTGTCTGTCTGTCTGTTCATCCATCCATCTATCTATCTATCTATCTATCTATCTATCTATCTATCTATCTATCTATCTATCTATCTATCTATCTATCTATCTATCTATCTATCTGTCTGTCTGTCTGTTCATCTATCTACAGTATCTGTCTGTCTGTCTGTTCATCTATCTATCTATCTATCTATCTATCTATCTGTCTGTCTGTCTGTCTGTTCATCTATCTATCTGTCTGTCTGTCTGTTCATCTATCTATCTATCTATCTATCTATCTATCTATCTATCTATCTATCTATCTATCTATCTATCTATCTATCTATCTATCTATCTATCTGTCTGTCTGTCTGTCTGTCTGTTCATCTATCTACAGTATCTGTCTGTCTGTCTGTCTGTCTGTCTGTCTGTTTATCTATCTATCTATCTATCTATCTATCTATCTATCTATCTATCTATCTATCTATCTATCTATCTATCTATCTATCTATCTATCTATCTATCTATCTATCTATCTATCTATATTACTGTAAGTACAGTCACTTTCCACTATTTCACCAGAAAGGGAGACTATTGAGCAAATGTTTGGCCAACAGCTATAATATGGTTTAACAGGCTTTGTGTGTCAAGCACAGATTAAGTTATTCATGCAGAAATAGTTTTTCCGATAGCCTGTAGCTGATGCTTAAACGCAACAAGGGGCGTATTTTTATTCTGTGGGCGGACTGTCTGAATCAGGTGGAGCACTTTTACTCCATGACATGGTAGAACATCCATCTGGGACATCACAGAAGGATTGTTTCAATGGAAAACCACAAAAGAGGGAAAGGTGGCACAGTTCAACAGGTGAGTTTGCACATTATTTGCTGATTGATGAATAATCATAAATCTGAGATAAACTGAACATGCTCCTGATGTGAGTTTTTGTCTTTTCAGATGGAGGATGACAGGGATTGTTTGTTGTCCTCGGATAAGGACACAGGGAAAAGTGGAACTAGCTCAATATCATCTGCCTCATTTAATTTCATCAATTCCATTATTGGATCCGGAATTATAGGTAATATTTTGTTGTTAATGGTTCTACAAAATAATTTGTTATTAAATATCAATTTAATAAATGCAGACAGGCTCTACCAGCCAAAAGTTTAGACGCGTCGAATCCAATATATTTTCCTCTTGATCTTAATAACTTGTTGACAAATTGGGTCACTTTTGCCTCAATAAACTCCTAATTACTGCTTATTAATAGTTAGCAAGGTAGTTGTTAAGTTTAGGTGTTGGGTAGGATTAAGGGATGTAGAATATGGTTATGCAAAATAAGGCATTAATATATACTAATAAACTGCCAATATCCTAGTAATGCTAATAAGCAACTAGTTAATAGTGAGAATTGGACCCTAAACTAAACTGTTACCATAAATTGTATTTATATAGATGTTGTTACAAAGCTAACATTATTAAGTGATGAGTTGGAGCATATATAAAAGCCAGCCATACATGTGAACTCCTGAAGTGTTTAAAAAGCATCTCATGAAGGCGGTTGAGAGCATGTCTAGCAAATAGTTTAGTATCTAATATAGAGTAAATCTGATTTTAAAAAAATTAATCTCTGCATAATTCCCATACTTTCATAGTTTTGACGACTCTTGGTTGACAGTTTAGATTTTTTTTATGTCTTGTCTAATTACTTTTAAACAAAACAGAATATTCCTAATAGATATAGTTATACAATATACAATATATTTATAAAATACCTAGGTCAAAAGCATGCTTAATGGGTTGGATGCATTATGTTCATTATTTCTCACATTTGTGCATATTTTAATAGGTCAGTAGAAGTAAGAACTGGCTTAGATTCCACGCGGCACAGGATCATATGACTAGTGAACAGCCCCAGTCAGTTCACGTGCTTCTGCTGCAGGAAAAAAAAAGAAAAATATATATTTTTTCTGGTCCAATGATATGGGGTCCAGAAAAGGTCAGCATTACATTTGAATGCATATATGCATTCTTGGCGGTAGCTATTTCTGTGCTCTATCACCTGCCTTACCAGAGGGGAACAACAAAACTAGTCAGCTGATCTTTCCCACTACCCTGTAGAGGAGACTGGAGCTAGTTATCACATTCATGTGAATATTTTCATGCATGGGTTTATTTTAAGTCATCTTTTATATGAAATATTTGGCCACAAAAAATGTGTTGACCAGGTTATAGTGTTCAGCAAGTCCTCCACATCTCTGATCTCTTGGTTTCATTGATCTAGGTTTGCCATATTCTTTGAGTCAGGCTGGTCTCCCAATGGGTCTTCTGCTGCTTTTTCTGGTTGCCTTCATCACAGGTATGCACTGCAAATGTTCATTCCCTATGGTACAGGTATGCATCTCGATGACAGTCATGTGTTCTTAAAATACATGCATGCACTGGTTACAAAGAAAGCCGAATAAAGTTGAGGGGATAGTTTGCCTGTGTATATATATATACAGGTGAAACTCGAAAAATTTGAATGTCGTACAAAAGTTCATTTATTTCAGTAATTCAACTTAAAAGGTGAAACTATTATATTATATAGACTCATTACATGCAAAGTGAGATATTTCAAGCCTTTATTTGTTATAATTTTGATTATTATGACTTATAGCTTATGTTATGTGAATCAAAATTAGAATATTGTGAAAGGTTTTCATAAGCTTTAATCCATAATCATCAAAATTATAACAAATAAAGGCTTGAAATATCTCACTTTGCATGTAATGAGTCTATATAATATAATAGTTTCACATTTTAAAGGTGCTCTATGTATTTTTTAGCGGCCTCTATCAGTGATGTTTCAGATTGCAACCAATTTTTACAAGAGCGCTCGTGCTCGAACACAAGAGCGAGCACTCATGGTACCGGCCAACCTGAGACTTTCAACACACCGGAGAAAGCATCACACAACATGCTGGAAACTCATGTAAACTCCCACTGCAACGTTACAATAATAGGCTACTTTTATCAGCTTGACGTTGAACTAATGCTCCATGCTCGTACCATGATAACGTTACATTGACTGCATTTAGCCGACATGTGATGTTATCTAGCATAAGGCATTTCACTAACTATTCCTGTATCTTTCACAATCAGCAATGTCAACAGAGGTGAATGTATAATATGATAACGAAAACGGTTAGTGAACTAGACTGAACAATTTCAGTGTAACAGTAAGATCGTAGGAAGTAACATTACTGTACTGAACGTGTCTGGAAATTATAAACAATATGATAGTAGTGGGATGAGTGACGTTAGACAGTAGATCTAGTACATAAAATAAAAGTTACATCCTAAAGCACCTACTTTTTGTTATCCTGGAACAGTCTTTTGTATTCATTTCAAGTCTCATATATGTTGTAGTTTACCTTGCCATTTCATTACAGTTTACCATTATTTATTTCAGCATATCTGAAAACTTGTAATTTATCACAATAAAAATAGAACGATTCACGTTTGGCCAAAACGATTCACGTTTGGCCTGACGAGCTTCAGCAGATACATTTTTGTTTTGTTTTGTATATTTATGTGGAGTTTGTGTTGGAGTGTGTGTTGTGCTGGAGGCAGGTCGTGTTTGGTGTTATCAGACTCCATGTCGTCAGCTGCAGTGCCGTCGCATAGACTGTATATAAAAGGAGAGAGGCTCGGGAGCGCGCGTGCACGTCACATCCGATGGATTTCGCAGAAAATCCGACCCGGAGACTTCACATAGAAATAGGAATACTGGCCTTCAGAGGTAATAGCAGAACCCGACAAGTGGATCATTGTAATGTGTGATTACAACCCCTTCACACACAGGCAATAAAAAAAGGATTCATTTTAGAAGAAAAGTTACATTTAGCACCTTTAAGTTGAATTACTGAAATAAATGAACTTTTGCACGATATTCTAATTTTTCGAGTTTCACCTATATATAGCCCCTCGTGATTTGATTAGATTTTTTCTTTCTGCAGATTACTCCATCATTCTTCTAGTCAGAGGAGGGAATCTGTCTGGCACTCACAGTTATCAGTCTCTGGTTCAAAGCACATTTGGCCAGATAGGATATTTGATCGTGTCAACTCTGCAGTTTCTTTACCCGTTCATCGGTAATCACAGACATCTGTGCTAATCAGGGACGTGCACAGGGGGGTTGCTCAGGTTGCCCGGGCAACTGCCCATATGCCCTTCTCACTCAAGTTGCCCTTCCGAGAAAAAAATTAAATCGTACAATGGATGCAGAATTTCACGTAGGCCTAGATTAAAAAAAAAAAAAAAATCGCAAAGCCTCATTCACTTCCATTCGGGCACCGAAAGTGAAAGTCAGTATGAAGGGCAAACGCTGCACGCGACCATAGACTGCACGCGAGCGGCGTAGGGCCACGCAAATTACTTAAGGCCACGCCTCCATCTCGTGTCATAGTCTCTATGGTCATAGTCATAGCGCGCCGTCAAATGTGTAGCTACAACATCTACGACAAAATGAAGCGAAACTATCCTTCTGGTCACGAAAAGAGGAAGAAGAAAAAAACCATGAGAGTGAATTGCGGGAACAACAATCAGGTAAACTTGTGTTCTCTCCTCTCTAAGTTTGATGTCAGCAAAGTTTGATGTTTTTCGGTCTTGCTAACCTAGCTGGGCAGGCAGTGCATCTCTTGCATCACTTTGTGGCTGACAAAAGTGAGAGTAAAATACAATTATTTATTACGTTTGATTTTGATAAACGACAAAGTGCGGTGTTTGTTTACTGCAGCTCGGAAAACATAACCGCGTCGCGTGTGTTATCATGCGTTCATGCGCGTGCACGAAATGAAACTCGCATTTTTCAAGCAGAAATATGTGGAGACCAGACATACTGTACAATACATGCACGTGAATGATGCCACTCCCAATCAAAGTACACATTATACTTTCAAAACAAGACACTGATTATCAAGTCTCAGTGTAGTTAAAAACTCTAAACAACTGCACTAATTATGCAAGATAGAAAGCAATGTATTGACAATTTGACATTGATTGACTATTGATTTATAGGCTATATTGAATTAAAAATGTTGATTAGCTGGACATACTGGTCAAAATGGATGCACATCCCTCAGTAAATAATAACCATAAATCAAGAATTGCTTCAACATGCATAATAATAAAAAATAAAATAAAAATCATACTGATGCCGAAAATGCCCAGGCTGTAGAAAGAACCAAAGTTAATCCCAAAAGCCAAAGCTCAGGGTTATTATTTATTATTTTCTTCTTATTTATGTTTACGTTAATATTCACTTACTTAATAATATTCACTTATTATCTTAACATTCTATAGAAAATACTCTATTCAATAAATATTGTGTGTTTGAACCTCATTCTGTTCTATATTGTTGTACTTATTATTTGACTGTTTTGTTTAAAGGGGGGAGGATGGGAGAGCTGAAGTGTCAGGTGTGACTGTGGCAATGGCAAATGGTTTACATAGCTCAAGACATCAGAGGGCCCCTTAGCAGAATTTTGCTTAGGGCCACAGGGAGGTCAGGATCGGCACTGGGTGTAGCAGTCGATTCTGTTCCTTACCGGAATTCCTGTTCCCTTTACGCAATCATACTACAAATCATGCGTAGTTGCCCAGATGAGCAAAAAGCACAATTGAATGTACGGGAAGCCAAAAGGTTAAAAAAGGATTGTATTTTTTCCGAAATCTAAGCGTTTTATTTTATTTTATTAGAAGCGAGTTTTTCCCCATCTGTCAATTCAATCCAGATTATTTATTTAAAAAAAAAAAAAAATAATAATAATAATTAAAAAACAATAAACAATAATATGAGGAACTCTTTTTCTCATGTGTATTTTGGTGACATTTAACATATTGTTAATACATTTTGTATACTGTTTACAAAGTTGTATATCATAAACCTGTCATCTTTGACGTTTGCAATCTTTATAAATAATAATAAGACCATAATATGAGGCATTGCGTTTGGAAATAAACACGATCAGATAAGGCAATTTGTATGGGCAAAATTCAACTGAATATATTCCTTCATATAGCCCGTGAGTTTTGGGGGTAGTGCCCTTTTTTCAGGTCAGAGCAACTGCCCCACAAAATTCCTGTGCACGTCCCTGGTGCTAATGACCTTTTGTTGTATTTATATTGTGAGTTGAAGTGACATTTAGAAGAATATGATTGCCTTTATTGTGTCCCACATATAGCAATGATCAGCTACAACATCATCACAGGTGATACGCTGACCAAAGTGTTTATGAGAATCCAAGGAGGTGAGCTGGTTATTACATTTACTTTTTTAAAGGGGTCATCGGATGCAAAATTCTTTTTTATATGGTGTTTGCATATAAATGTGTTTTTGCAGTGTGTGGACACAACCACCATACAACGAAAAAATGATTTTCATTATATGGCTCATTATCATTTAAAGAGACAGGTCGCAGTGAACAGAGCTGTTTTTGAGGAGGTAAAAAGGGTGATGTTTTACACAACCATTGAGAAATTGTAATCAAAGTATGTTACAAACTTTACATGAAGACCCTAAATAACAACTTGTGGAATATGGGCATCCGATGACCCCTTTAAACGGGACACAGCATTCCTCATACATGTGCCTTATATGAAGAGGCATTATTGACATGCAAATGTGGATGATTGTGTTAATATTTCAGGTTTTTATAGCAACTGTTATTCTGCTTGGTTTTAATTAGTGCTCTTTTTTTGACTCTAGAAAGTTTAGAGTTGCAGTATGTTTTCATAGTATAATCTTCATCTTGGCTCTAAATGTCTTGTGTCCATGCTTTTGAAAGGACACCTCCAAAAAATAGTCTCAGTTTTTTCTCTATAAACGCATTGATAAAAGCAGAATCTTAACTTTTTTTGTGCTCTTTGTTTTTTCCAGTTGGTCCCGGAAACATACTTGCAGAGAGACGTTTTGTAATTCTGATGTCCACTCTTCTATTCACACTGCCCCTGTCTCTCTATAAAGATATAGCAAAGCTGGGAAAGGTTGAGTATTACCTATTCACTGTGCTCTTTTTTTATATATATAATCACGTGATCTATAGCTTTAAAGGAATATTTCACCCAAATATCTCATTCGCCTGCTATTTACTCACTCTCATGTCTTTTCAGGCCTGTATTTTTGTTGTATTTCTGTGGAACACAAAAGGAAAAATTTTTCATACAACAGCATTTCATAGTGACCATGTCTGATACACCAGGCTCTAAAATGGACAAAAAAAGCACAATTATACATAGTTTTAGAAGAATAGTCCATATGACCCATGTGCTACATTCTGAGGTATTTGAAGCCAGGGCATTGTTGTGCTACACAGAAAAATAACATCATATGGGTCTGGATAACCCATAGGGTTATTTCACCCAAAAATGAATATATATTATTAATTACCCACTCTCATGTCGTTCCAAACTCGTATGACTTTCTTTTTTCGTTTAATTGTTTTTGATGAAATTGGAGAGCTTTCTGTCCCTCCATTGACAACCTATGCAACTACCACTTAAAAAAAACATACTTAAAAACCACTTTATTTACAAAATATTAATCTTCAACGCATGTTCACGCAACAACGTCTGCTCTCACATCAACACAACATGCATGCGCCGTGGTGCTCTGGTGAAGACTCGTTGAAGATTAATATGTTGTAATGGAAGTGGTAAATTGTTGTTTTTGGACAAACAAAGCACTTGTGTCGCATGGATTACTTTAATGATGACTTTGCTACCTTCCTGGTGCTTGAAAGTGGTAGTTGCATTCCTGTCAATGGAGGGACAGAAAGCTCTCAGATTTTATTAAAAAGATTCATTTGTGTTCTGCTCTTTTCCAGGTATCTTTACTGTCCATGCTCTTGACTTTTGCCATCCTCATCACAGTGGTCGTGAGAGCTGCGACACTAGGACCAGAGATGTATAAAATCCCTCTTCCCGTCTGTGTGGATTCATTCACACCGTCCACCATATGCTCATGTTTGCTGACCGCAGCTCAGGATAATGATTTACCCTTTTAAATACTCACTTCTGAGAAATGATCTCAATGCGCTCCATTCATTGGGTTTATTTAATTTTTTATTTGATTTTCCATCATATTTTGGCCTTTGTGTGACAAGGCATATAGTGACACACTCCAGTGAAACAATACATGTTTTGTGATGCTTCATAAGGAAAACACCTAACCCGTGTGAACCCAGAACAAACGTGTGATTTTCACCTAGCAGATTATTAAACAGGCAAAAAAATCACTATAATACTGTTTTCTAGTATTATTATAGAGACTTGGGAACGTGACTCTCTGATTCTTTTTGGCATGCTAAAAATAACTAATCAAACCCTCCTAGCAGGGACTTTTGCATGGGCATGCACAAACATTAAAAATTATTTATACAATTAATTCCTAGCTTTATGTGTTTACTTACATTTTTTTGTCCACAGACCTGCATCAGATGATGCATGGGTGTTTGCACGGTGGAATGCAATTCAGGCAGTTGCTGTCATGTCTTTTGGTGAGGTTTTTCTTCCAGTGATATACACCTTTCTTGTATCAGTGTGGTCAGAGATGAGCATTCTCAAAATAAAATAACGCTTTCAATTGGAAAACTTTTTTTCCAGCTTTTATCTGCCATCATAACAGCTTTATGATCTATGGGTCGCTGCAGGAGCCCACGTTGAGCAGCTGGTCTCTTGTCACGCATGTATCTGTGGGCTCAGCTGTACTGGTCAGTGTTGTCTTTGCAGCTGCAGGTTATGCAACTTTTACTGGTTATACACAAGGTAAATCCTGGGTCACAATATCTGCATGTATTACTTTGATAAATCTGTGTTATACGGTACACAATGCACTGAAAGAACCTGAACACGATTACATGTTTTCCTGTTGTGTTTCTTGTCCAAGGTGATATATTTGAGAACTACTGCAGGAATGATAACTTGGCTACATTCGGTCGATTCTGCTACGGTGTCAGTATAATCACCACGTTCCCTCTGGAGTGCTTTGTAACCCGTGAGGTGAGATAATTGAAGCTTTTTATATTGGGTGAATCTTCAGGGGAACTTTTGACTACTTGATAGCTTGAAAAACAAAAAATCTTAATGTTCAAACATTTATCACGTCCTGAAGGGAAGATCTGACCATGGCCTTGATCAACCTTCAAGTTGATTTTCCATCATAACCAAATAGATATTGTTCTCTACATTACTTGTGATGGGAATAACATCAGTATTGGGGACAGTGATTCTTTGACAAAATAAATTATAAAAAGTCAAATTTATAAACATAAATACCAAACTAATTCAGGGTTATTATAGTTAACTAAAACTAAAACACCTAAAAAAAAACTAAAACCATAAAATACAATAAAAATGAAGTTAAAATAAAATAATTTTATTTGACTACATGTATATCAGTTAGTTTATTTATTATATTTCAATTTAGTTTAACTTGATGTAGTTGATTGTAAAAAAACACAAACAATACAAAATGACAAAAAAACTACAAAAAGCACTTAAACTTGAATGAAAATGGAACATAAACAGACTGAATAAACGGCTAAAGAAAGCCAGCTCTGTGTTGGGGACTGACCAGCTGGAGGTGGTGATGGAGAGGAGAATCCTGGTCATTTTGTGTGAAACTGCTCACCCTTTAAAGGGTATTGTTGGTGCACTAGAGAGTACATTTAGTAGGAGGGTGATTCCTCCTCGGTGTAAGAAGGAGAGATATTTTAGGTATTTTATTCCTGCTGCGATTAGGCTGTACAACCATACCCTGATTTGAAGTATGTGCAGAATAGTGAGGGTATATGTATATGTATTTATATGGATAGAAGTGTGTATTTGCGTGCATGTATAGGTATATATGTATATTTAGGTATGTAGGGATGTATACGGGTTATGTTTTGCGTATTTGTGTATATGTACTTATTACATATTACCGTAATAACTTGTTTTAAATAATATATTGAATGTTTTTGCTTGGACTAGGGGTTGAGTGGCATTGTTTTGGGGTATTGAGTGTGTATGTAGGTAAGGGAATTGGAGGTGTTTTTGAATTTATGTTAAATTAAATACGTCGTTGTATTGTAAACCATATCTATTTGTAATTAATGGATATTCAGATTATTGAGATTATTGATTGATTGTATTGTCTATTTTTGTTATGCATGTTGTCTCGATTTCTGTCGTTGCTGTAACACCTTAATTTCCCCTCTGGGATTAATAAAGGAAGTCTAAGTCATATTTAAAAACGAATTCAAAAAAATTATAAAAACTATAATAGTATCTAAATTACACATTAAAATCATTCTTTGTAACACATTGTCAAAGTCTTTAGACATTTGCAGAGCTTTCTGTATGACATTACAGTCATCTCGACTCTTTAATGACCGCATGCAATGTTTAAAATTCGTTTTAAAGTCCGACATACTTAAGTTGATTGTTTTAGTATTTGTTTAACTTACTTTAAATTTGGTCCTTTCTTGATGGTGTCCAGGTGATCTTCAATGTCTTTTTTAAAGGAGAACTCAGTAACATCGCCCATTTCATCATTACCTTGGTGATCATATCAGCAGCGACTGCCATATCCCTCTCTTATGACTGTCTGGGTATTGTACTGGAACTAAATGTGAGTTTTCCTGTTAATTCATTAACAACAAGATATGTGGTTAGCAACAGTAGTTGATTACATTCAGAGATGTCTGTAAATGTTGTGTCTGTTTTTCCATCTCTTTCAGGGTGTTTTGAGTGCTATACCTCTCATGTTCATCTTCCCCGCCGCCTGCTTTCTGAAGCTCTCGGATGACCGCTGGTTTCGTGGGGAAAACCTCATTCCCAGCATCATCCTGGCGGCAGGTGTTTGTGTTATGATAATCGGCTTAGTCATGATGGTGCTCTTCCCTCAGGACTGTTCACACGGAGCAGAGATGTTCTACTGTACCGTCTCCAACTCCTCAGTTCCCAGCACCACTTCACCCAGTGTGCTGCAGTTTATTAACACCACACAGAATGCCAGCACTTTCTGACTTAAATCTATTTCACTGGAATCGTATTATATGCTGTTTTCTAGTAATACATTGTTGGTACAATTGTTATATTAAAGAAATTACATCATAAAAAGGCTACAGTATATATTTTAATTAAAAAAAAATGTGTTATTGTGATTAACTGTCAGTGGCATATTTTCAATGTAGGTCTATCTTCTTGCATACCCACCACTAATTTTAAGTTGATGTATGCAGTATATGACTTGTGCATGTTCTAAGTGTTTTGAACCCATACAGAAGCTTATAAGGAACAGACCCAAATTGAAGTTGATTCACTGGTAGTTTTCCCTCTTTGAACTTTAGCTAAACGAGGTGTGCCAGTTTGAATTAACGCAATTGAGAAAGAAATTAAGCCTGCACTGCCATAATCAATCTGTTTCATAAACAAAGTAAAAAACAAAAAACAACAACGGAAAAGCTGCTTATTTGCAAGTTCTATATGGAGATGTTTATTGATTTCAGCCACTATTTTGTCCTTGGATTGATTTTTATTAAAAATTGTTTGTTTTTTTTCTGTCATAATTTCCTCACCCTCGTGTTGTTTTACACCTGTATGAGTTTATTTGTTTTGTTGAACAAAAAATAATATATTTTAAAGGACGTTGGCAACCAAGTTGCTGGTCTCAATAGGCTTTATGCACAGCTTCACTACTTCCTGAACTTCAGCCAGCCCTTTGTTTCCTGTCTGTCATTATTGGACAAACTGATTAATCCAGGTGTGCCTGATTATTGTTACTGAGGCCAGGCACACCTGAATTAATCAGTTTGTCCAATAATGACAGACAGGAAACAAAGGGCTGGCTGAAGTTCAGGAAGTAGTGAAGCTGTGGCATAAAGCCAATTGACTTCCATACAGTAGTATGAAAACAAAATACTACGGAAGGAAGTCATTGGGGACCAGAAACTGTTTAGCCAACATTCTTAAAAATATAATCTTTTGCGTAACAGTAAAGACACTTATACAGGTTTAAAACAACATGAGGGTGAGGGTTTTTTTTTTTTTTTTTTTGGGTGAACTATCCCTTTAAGATTGGATATGAAACGCTAGGCCTAGACAAAAGATTACTCAATTTATTCAAAACATATTTGAGCTGTGTCCTCAGTATGTTATGGAAATGTTCATGGTGTTTTTTTTTAGAAGAAGAAAATCCCCCCGTGATGTTTATCTGTAGCCTAGTTGGGTTTAATTTAATTGGTCAAATAACCTTAGTGTGTGGGAAGTGTGGTGTGCTTTGGCTAACCGGAGATTCGCAAACAAAACTCGCAAACAAAATGATTGAAATTCATAAGCAATTAAATTGAGACTTCATGTCGACCCCAATTTTGCTACTTTGTGAATATGCTATACGTAAACATATCAATAATTTCCATTAGAATAGCACGACACTCCAAACGGAGTCTGTCGTGTATTTTGACGAACACTTTGCTTATAAACTCCTGTATTGTACATAAATGCTTGCTTAAACACAATGACAAGAGCTGAGTTGATCTGAAAAATATTGACCCTTTTCAAATTTCCGGTTTTCTCAGAAGCGGAAGTCGTGAATGAGAGACTACATTAATATACTTTTCATGTCATGTTCCCATTTGCTGAAATAGCTAAATAAAAACGCCATAAAAGTGTTTTCACAACTTTCAAAAGGAAGAAAAAAATAGAGAGAGATTGATAACGCCAGTCAGAAGACAGAAAGACGTCAATTTGACTGTCACTCCCACAGACGCAAGAAACACCCTCACAGCAGCGTTAACTAGGCCTAGTTGTCATTTGATGCAAAGGTAATATTACAAAGTATAATGTTATGTACATACATTAAAAAAATAAAATATAAATAACAGCAGGAATTACGATGCTGATACGCTTTCGTTAAAACGCGTCATCACAGTCTGGAAAAAGGTCCACGCTAAAAGCACGAGGCCAAAACAAAAAAAAGCACGAGACTTTGTTGAGTCTTCTTGACAAAAGACTCTGACCCAGAATATGTCTATTGTTTTATGAAAGATTTCTCATTGGATATTCTTCAGAAACTCTCCTTTGATGTATGAGCATACGTCTTTTAAACAACATTAGGGTGAGTATAATGACAGAAATGTAATTTTGGTGAAGGCGTCTGAATAATAAGCAATAATAAACAGCAGTTCTATCACTAGGTGTCGCTATTGTGCCAGTTTTGGTTCGCCACGTCAAGTGTAGTATAAAGTCCTCCATGACCAAATGTAGCCTGATCATAGTTTACACCATTCGCATGTCAATCAAGTGAATCAACATAATATATCATAATGATATTTTTGAATGAATTATGCTGCCTTTGAGAAGACTGTGGAAGGCTCGCCTCAAACAAACTAATCTCTCGCATGGCATTACTGTATAAGAGCACATTCACTGCTTTGTTGTGACTTTTCTTGTCGGGGGCGACATGTAAATTTGTAAATCCGGAGTGTGAACAGTCGATGAATCTAGCGTGAAGATGGGAGTAACTGTAACTCATCGTGTCATGACTATATGCGAAGCTGCCGTCTTCCCTCGGTTAAATAGGAACAGAGGAGCGTCTGTTGACAGGGGGAGGACTCTGGAAAATATGGTGGGAGTTGCAGAATTGTAATGGGGTAACGGGACAGAATTGATGCAGGGACCAAGAAGGAGTGCTTTAAGTCTGCTGAAACGCTCCAAAACGTGCTGAAGTTGTTGTTGATGATGGTGTTTTGACGAGACTGATGACAGTTGACAGCCGCGCAAAACTTCAAAGGCGATCAAGGTAACGTTACGTTCAATGCGTCATTCTCATTCAAACTAGTATGACCGTTTTATTCGTGAAGCACAAAATGAATTATGGATACAAAATGCCGAAATTGCTTCCCAGTGATGACTTACTGTTAAGCTTATTTTTTTGTTTTGCTTAGTTAAAAAAAAAAGTATGTTGAGACGGGATTCGAACTTGAGTGATCTTGTGCACAATCACACCGGCTAATTTGTTAAAAACGAATTTTTTAGAGAAATAGTATTTTTTTTTAATATATATATATTTTGACCATTAGGCTACCGAAAAACTATTGTAGGGCTTTGAATTGCATGATGATGTTTTTGACATTTTCTTGACAGTTGACAGCCAGCAAAAGCGCACTCCCCCTGCCTGTTGCATACAAAATCAGTTTTCAAAATGTTATTTTCCATAAGACAAGACTGCAGGGGAATCACTGGCCGATTAGTTAATTTGCAAGTTTTTGGTTAAATAATAATATTATGTTGAGGCATGTATTATTCACGTTTGAACCACATCACTAGACCAATAATTTTTAATAGCTTTTTTGCTTGCTTGCTAAAAAAATTGTTTTTTCTTTGTGACAACCAGTAAATATCCTTCCTCCCCGGGAACACACCTCTACACACCCTGCTGAAAAAAATAAAAAAAACCTCCTAAGCTGGTTTGCTGGTCTTGAGTGGTTTAAGCTGGTCTTCCAGCAGCTAAAACCAGCCCATAGACCAGCCTGACCAAGTTGGGAGAGCAGCAAACCAGCTAGTCTGGTGTAAGTTGAAGATGTTTGTTTTTTCAACAAGGGAACCTGCCCATTATTGACAATTTGGCATGAAGAACCACCTTCTCCAAAACTGACTCGTCGAGTTTAACCTCTTAATCTGTCAGCACTCCCTTTGAGCCACGAGTGAGTAGTGTTTGCTTTCTGTTCTTCAGTGCCAGGGATTTCAGACCCATGCAGGCCGCGGCAGGGATGGATGGCAACGCGCACAGCCGACCGCCTGACCGAAGGTACACCGTAAGCACTAAAAGATTTACTCCTTAACTCTGGGTTTGATCTGTTTTTGTGAGTATTTGTGTCGTTTATGTTGTACAGTATGTCTTGACCTTTGAATATGCTTGTTTGTCTCGAAATCTTCCATTTTATAACTTTTTTCCCGTTATTACAATGCCGTGCAATCAATTTTAGGTTAAGAGGTTCCTTTAAAGTTTTGACATCAAACAGATTTTTAATGTTATCAAATATGTTTGTGCTGTTGTTTTCCCATCAACATGATGTCACTTCCTTGAGGATGATGTCATCAAGTAGCTTTTGTTAGTAAAAGGTATTATTCGGCTGATAGAATGTGAAGACACTGGAAGAACTAGGCTATAAATTGATTAACGATTAAAACATTTGCATTACAAGCACTGTAGAAATTACCCAGTTGTACAGTAAGTGTGGATATTTGAGTCTGTAGGAAAGTGTAATGAAAGATTGTAATACTAATCCATGTGTGTTTGTTCTTCCGTATTGTGGATTTAAAGATTATGTGGAATGAGGAGAATAGGGGGAAAGTTAGTACTTTTCATTTTTTCCTGCAAGATTTTCCAGTTTTCAAGCATTCATTGCACATGCATAATGTGAGTTCTGGAATAAGCATTGGACAGGATTGACATTTGTGTGATCACTGTAGACTGGGCTGTTTATGAGTGAAGATTTAGACATTGTGTGCTTGTTTACAAGACAGCCTGACTGTAATTAAAGTCTCTGTTGTCGCAGGCATTGCCTCGACCTTTGACCTCGGTGCATTTCCGGCCTGCAGAGCAGAGCTGAGAAACGCTCTTGGACACATGTGGAGGTCATGGGAAATGAACTTTAGGGGAGGGGGAGTCTCTGCGAAATCTCTTGCAAAATTCTCCTGGTTAATTTCTTTGCTGGGGAAATGAGGATGTAATTGCATTTGTGACTTTACTGGACAAGAGTCGTGTAGCGAAGAACAGGGTCTACAGTTTTCATTTCCCTCTTAGATAAGACTGGAGATTACAGGAAAAAATGGTTGCTGCGTTCAATGTGAGCCTTGTTAATTTGACCTCAGAGCCAATTGTACTTATCTGGTGTAATAATCCATGTCTGTGGGGGCAATACTACAGTCTCAGAATCAGAAGACTAGGACATTTAAAATATACAAACCAGACACAGAACTGGTCCTTGAAAACCACATGAGGCCGATTAGCCGTCTGTATCATGAGTGAGGAGACCTGGACGTTGAATCCTCCATGTGCATTAGCGTCAAATATGATCTTTATTAACACACTTTGGACTTTAAGTAAGACTTTAAGACTTTGGAAATTTGTGCTCCACGGGTTCAGATTTTGCTAGCAAAGGATGATGTCAGCTGAGAGCTTTCCAATGGCTGGAAGCGTTTTCTATGAAATCGGAGAGATATTTTCCAGCACGTTCTCATAACTCTCTTTTTCTGCATTATTATATATATCTCTCTCTCACACACACACACACACACACACACACACACACACGTTACCTCTCCCACGATGCTATGAGCAGATCTCTGCGCTATTGTGATTCTAATCAGAGGCGTGTCTGATGTTTTGAAGTTTTTTTTTTTTATAAGAGTCTTTTAAGCCTCGCACAAGCGCTTTGATTTTGCACCCAGGATCATTTGATGTGTGTTGTCGGTGGGGTTTACAGCGGGAAAGTTTTGTTGGGTTTAACAGCGTGACTCTTAACCGCACAGAAGTTGTTGTGTAATTCGGGAGCAGGATTCTGGTTTCTCTGGCACTGCAGGGCATCAGGCCATCAACCGTCTTATGTCTGTGGTGCAACTCTGTTTGTAAATTCAAAATTTCCAGCCTTTTGCCAAGTTACACAATTGATTTACACTGTTTTTACATGAGGTTTGAAAATTTGGTCCAAAAAAACATGAGTTTGATTTCACTCTATTCCCCTGCAGGTCTCTTTGCACGTTGTATTTTTGGGGTCTGCATCGGTCTGGCTAAAAATATAGTTTAAAATTTTCGGTCAATCGCAATCTCCATTTGAAACCATGAAACACAACCAGTGTAGTCTGATTCACGAATGCATGATTTTTTTTAAAATAAAATAGTTTAAAAAACTATTTTTATTGTTTATACCTTAAATCTGGCATAGTGTACTATGAATATTGTTGGTTCCTACGACAAAAAAGATGACGAAAAAGACGTCTGATAAATGAATAAATGTAATGTAATTAAACACCGCCTAAGTCAAGTCAAGTCAACTATATTTATATAGCGCTTTTCACAATACAGATTGTATCAAAGCTGCTTCACAGTATCAATCAAAACAACTTAACAGTGTTTGTTTATTACTGGAAAAGACATCCACGTTTGGTAGAGCTGATCAGTGGTATGATGAGTCATTTAATTTGAATATCCCCTAAGCAGTGAGATAGTATTTGTATGTAAGAATAAAGAAGCAAAATGGACTTTACAACTGACTAAATACTCAAATGAATCAGAATTGAATTCAAACAAATTGAAATTGAATCAAATAGAATCAAGAGCATTTGTATCTGAATCTAAGGCTCTTGTCTGTTCACACTGTCAATCCAAATCTGATTATTTGTGTATCCGGTTGGAATCTGATCTAAAATTATTGACTGTCCACATTGTGTATCGCAACTGTTCAGATTCGATTTGTGTGTCCCATGCCGCTCTTTAGTTTTCAAGAATATCTGGATTGGTTTCTATGCCAAAACCAACAACAACAACCGCAGCATGGAGGGATTTGCAAAACAGATGTTGTCTCATTTGCAACATAACAATGTGTGTGCTGGACTACTGCGTCGTCTGAGGCAGCGGCAGAAACGTTGGAGGCTGGTATGAGCGGCTTTATTCCATGCCGTCGTCTCTGCCGGTTTCAAAACATTGCCAACCTTGTTTCTGCAGTGACTTTCAGCATGTTTCCAATAACAACAACGTCTGATGTTTACGTTTTACATGCTGTGAGAAAGTCACATAAACCACGTGAAATCTGATCAGAGCAATCAGACTGAAACGGATGAACCACATATGAATGTAACTCAAAACTGATTTGTAAAAATTGCATTTCATGTGATTTTTTTGTTTTGTTGCTGTTCACACTTGCTAAATCTGATCGGATTTCAATCATATTTGGACTGACCGTCTGAACGTAGCCTAATTGAATTGGGAAATCTGAATTGATTACCCGTCCTACTGAATCACAGTAAGGGTGTACTCACACTAGACACGGTTGCCATGAACCGGGCCAGAGTACGATTGTCCCCCCTCCCCACTCCCCCTCTAGCCTGCACTCACATAGGGTTTCAGCATTCGTGCCGGAGCACGCTTACGTCATTATGGTGACGTAAGCGTGCTCCGGTTTCGGGATAAACAAGAAGAGCGGCGCTCTCTGAACACAATGGAGTCCATCGCTCTGTTTTCTTTGTGGATAATTTTGTGTTGTTTGGTCCACGGTGGTCCACAGCCTGTTGTTAAACAGATGCGTCGCCTTAGTGGCGCGAAAATTTTCACGTAATCGTGCTGCTCGTATGAGGAGGTTTGCAAGGTACCAGCTGAAGTGCAGCAAGGACTTTGCAGCTTTGATTACGGACTGTGTTGGTTTTGGAGCGTCGCAAAACCATGACGTCACGCGTCCTGTTCCGTGCTCCAGCACGGTTAGCGCTCACACTGCATGCGAACCGCGCCCGAGTCCAACTGAACCGTGCTCAGGCCCACCTCTTCCAAGCGGGCCAGGGCCGGCTAATCGAGCCGCGCCCGGGCACGGTTCGGAGCACTCACACTAGTCAAACGAACCGCGCTTTGGTGGTCAAACGCACTCGGGCACGGTTCAAACTGGCTAGTGTGAGTACACCCTAAATGCATAAAGTAATTTTCTGTGTTTGTTTATGAAATATTGTAGCGAATTTGACAATGCTTACAGTTACCAATGCGAGTGTTGCACTCTCACATCCATGCAACACAATATTCAAATCTGTTTTGCCGATTTCCTCCCCCAAAAAGTGCAGATAATATGAGCCTGCTAATAACGTACAGCGACTGCAGACATGCACACGTTTAGCAATGGTTTCATATTCTGGAAGCTCGGAATGGTAAAAGAAGAGACTGACAAATGAGGGGAATTTAAGTTTGATCTCTGCAAATATGAAAGCAAGATGTGGAACTTCGCAGGTGTTGGCAGGACCCATTGTACGCTGCTGCAGTTTGGCTTCTTTTACTTTTGACATCTGTTCTTGGAATTCAAAGCTGGACGAACAGCTTCGGTGTCGAGAATAACTGCCGGAAAGTTTACTCGCTTATGATGTCATCTTGTGTGATCTGTAGTAATTTCCAAATGATCAACACAGACACTTCTACCTCAGTGCAGCAAGGACCAACAAAGTGTCGCCTTAGGGACAGGGTATGGAAGCACTTGAGCATTGTTGCAGATGTTTCCATACTTTCTCGCACTCCAACTTTCCCTCTGCATACACTCATATACTGTACTAACACACACACAGCTGTTCTATCCAATCCGCTGTTGAAAGCTACAGTATAAGAACAGTGATGTTGGCTTGATAAAGACCTTCTGGAAACCACCCAGGATAGTCTACAATCCACCTAGCAACACCCTAGATACCATCAGAGCATCCCATTCAGAATAAACCTGGCTAGGAAACCTCTGGAAACCAGTCAGAACACCATAGCAACTGCCTTACAACACTTTCTTGTATACACCCCGATGCATTGATCAAACGTCTAACGATACAATGTATCGATGCCACATGTAAAGTATGAGGTACCCTTTTGACACTCTAAAAAAAACTAATGTGTTGTTTTTTGTTGTTGTAAATGTCCCAATCGACCGTTCGCAAAGACCCGCCCCCCTTAGTTACTGTCGCTATGTCCGTCAAGCTACGCTGCTCTCACACACACACACACCATGTTCTCACACAGTGAAAAATACATCGCGGACTGACAACACGCTGACAGACAGGACAGACCAGGTT